CAGGGCGGCAGCAGCTGGGGCCGGGGGCAGGCGAAGAGCTCCCCGGGGTCCTGCAGCAGCAGCTGCTCCCTCCTCTTGCTCTTCCTCTTCCTCTTCCTCCTCCGGGGGCTGAGGCTCTTGCAAGAGGTGCAGAGAGCTTCCAGGTCCGCCTTGGATATGAGCGAGCATTTCACCGCGCGGGTGGGCACGGAGTTGATGGCTTTGAGGGTCCGGAGCTCTTTGAGATCGCAGCGTCGGCTCTTGATCTTTAAGGTTTCCATCTTCTTGCTGATGGTGGTCCTGGGGATATCCTTAAACAGGTCGCTGAGGACCTGGGCCAATGCAAACATCTGGGTGCCATTGATCTGTAAGTATCCCAAGTTTATCCCTTCGATTTCTTGATAGCCAGCATGAAAATCCCCCGGCCTGGCTTCCCCATTGTAATCCATGGTAGTTGGAACAATTCCGAAGGTCCCTTCGCAGGTCAGGAACATTTTGCAAGGAGCATTTACTTTGTCTCTTTCAAAGGGGGCATTGAAAATAAGGACATATTTGTTTCCACTCCCTGATCACACATCCCTACCCCTCAGGAGAGGTGGGGGAGGGGGGAGGGGAAAAAAAAAAGCCAAAGCAGTCGATCTCCCTTTCAAATGCTCCAGTCAATGGTTTGCAACATCTTCCAAACACCTCGTTCCTCCTCCTGTACTGGGGCTTGACTCCTCGTCTTCCCCCTCCCCAGCAAAAAAAAAAGAAAGAAAAATAAAGAAGTCAAACATCTTGCATCCTCTTAGGCTCTCCCCCGCCAATTCCCACCCCGCATACGCACACACCACCTTCCACTTCAAAAATAATCTCTTTCGGGGGGGGGGGGGAAAGCACAGATCCCCCCTTTGCTGTGCAAAGCCACTGAGATGCTTAAGCAAACAAAGCTACCGACAAGGGGGTGGAAGGGAAAAAATGGTAGCAGAGGGGATCTTGCGAAGAGGGGAAAAACCCACACGAATCCATGTCGCTCCCACCTTTCCTGGGCTCCTTTCTTAAAGCCCCGCTCCCGAGTACAGTATATTATAGGAAACACCCCACCAAATAATTTCTGCGACCCGAGAGCTGATTGGGTACTTGAACCTTGTGATGTCATAAAACCCCAACATTTCACACGCACACCCCCGCGCAAAACCTCATAAACGCGGAGCCGCCGCGCTGCGCTGCGCCGCGCC